GAAAAATGTGTGTACATTGTGTTGCATGCCAGTGAGCCAACATTGTTCTTCAGGAAGATGTACAGGTCAGAAGCATACAAGGGCTTCATGCTGATACTTCAAAATATTCATACTGGGATTTATGAATTATGTTTTTTAACCGTGCTGTATGTGTCTAGGTATATATACTTGTGGAAGGCTGAAGAGAACACAGAGGACTGCTGATTAAACAGAGACCCTCAAAAACGCCCAGCTGGCTAACACCCAAACCAGTTTAATGTCTAATAAAAACTAGCATTTGTACACTCAGGTGAGTATTTTATGGCACGTAATACAAGAAACATCTGTGGCTCCAGCCAGGTTCTCGTGAAAGGAAGTTCTGATTACAAAGCTGTCCTAGTAGTATATACTAATCTGTATGCTTAATGGAAATCTGAAGGAGAGTACATTGAACAGTACTCACCCTCTGGAGCTGGGAAGTGATGTGAATCACAACCCTTCAAAACCCCAGAGACAGAACCTACTGATTCATGAGAGTGGTTTAAAAATAGAGGGGTTAAAAATAGTAAATGTCCTTGTTGTTGGTATGCTGGTTTTAAATCCATATAGTTCACATTTTCTGGCTACACAGGCCTGAAATTACTGAAAAATGTAACTACTTAAAAAGTAAACAAATAGCCACTGAGACCATTGTATAATCCAATGAAACTGAGCTTGGCTTTATGCTGATGAATGGGACCTTTACACTGCCAAAGAGCTTTGGAAAGTCATGACTTTCTGCTTTTTTGTTAACAGAAATCTCAGCTCAAGATAGAAGAAAGCTGATGCTTCCTTCTGAAATGCTGAACTCCTGATCCTGCTCTATAGATCATCCCTCTATCCTGCTTCATGCAGAGGGGCCAGCATGAGAAAACAGATGGGTCTGACATTGACCGTCTTCAGCGCGCTACCCTGCTCGCCCTAAGAGCTTGCCTGACATCATCGCTGTGTGCTACAACTGTATTTTAGACATACCGTCCCCTACTCTGTCCTCGCAATGCCCTTTGCACTGTGACTCGGTGGGGCTGCTAGAAGACAGACTTACAGCTGTTTTCCTTAGTGCCTGCCCATGCTCGAGAAACCGTCTCAGTTACAGAGTGTTCAGGAGTCTTCTCATTTCTTTCAGGGCATAAAGGTTTTAGGGTGCCAGTGAAAAATCTTGTGACAAACCAAGTCCTTATGTCCTTCCTCAGATATAATTTAAATTTGACTCAGTCAAGACTCCCACTGACTTCAGTAAATCTTTTGAGATTTGGCCCTATCCCATGAGCACATTGCAATCAGCTATAAAAGCAGGAACAGAACTGAATCCCATAGAGTAACATCACAGTAACATACATTATTTCCATCCAAGTGAAAAGATCTTCCGGGATTTTCTTTTCTGGCCAAATTTAAAGCTAAACACATTACTCATCTGTGCACAAGTCTGCTTTCCAAGGCAAAACTCACTAGAAAAACAGGAAATAATAACACTGTGATATATAAAACTAGGTTGCTCTGCTCTGTTGTCAAAGCCACAAAATGTGTTTTCCATTAGCTTTCAAGTATAGGGTGAAATGTTTAGTGCATCTGTCTACCCATCAGTCCATCCATCCATCCATGCATGCATCCATCCATGCGTCTTGTTTTTCCTGAGCAGAGGGAAAGTTCAGCAGTTTTCAGCTATATTTTTAGAGTCTTTTATTTAGAGAAAGTAACTGACATCAGAATTGAGACTATGTTTTTCTCTTACTGATAAGATTACCCCTGTGAAAGGGGAGCAAAACAGACTCAAGAACATCATGCTTAAAAGAGTGTTCTGCTGGATCCAGTCTCAGTGGGTCAGGAGGCACAGTCCTTCCTAAGGGTAGCTAAAAGTGAAGGAAAGCCACCCATTTCCAAGGGCACTTCATTAGGCTTGTCTTCATGTGAGGAAAAAACTACATTTTAATACATTAATTAAGTAGATATTTAAATCATTGTGTCAAATATTTTACTGCAGGTGCCAATAAGCATATGCTACATACACCCTAGCCATGTAATTGCTATTACTATTTCTTATTTTTTGAATAACACTTACAAAAGCGAACCCAAAGTCTGCAGCTGATGTATCTTACTAAATGCCATACACTCCAAAGTGTGTCCAAAAGTCTTAATCAATTCCACAGTTCTTCACTGAAGCAAAGTTGCGAGATAGGACCCAGCAGCAAAGCCAAAATATGTCCAAAATTTTACCTGTTTTTTGTAGCAGGAACATACTCTTTCAATGGTAATTGAGATGGGCTCAAGTGTCCTATTGTACTTTGGCCTGGATTTTTCCAATCTGAAACATCATATATTGATCACATCTGTTCCTAAGGTTGAAGGACCAGAGTGTGTGAAGGACTTTGGTACCCACAGTGGATTGTGAACACCAGCACCCAAAACTGCTAATTTTCAGACCAGGTCTCAGATACACAGTCAGCTAGGAGGCATATAGAATCATTGACTTTTTGAAGGTCCTGACGATTCAGCCTCTGGACATGTGCAGAAGCACTTCAGTTTTGACAGGGCTCAGCAAGTTGTTTTCTCTCATGCATGTACGACATGCATGTATCTCACCAGAATTCAGAAACCAGAGTTTCTCTGCTGGTGTCTTTGATGGTCTGCTCCAGAAGGAATCAAAGCCTCTCTTTCTCAAGCACCAGCACGAAACTCTTGGATGCTACTGATTCCATTTAAATCATGGTGTGGTTGGTGTGGCACCATCACTCCTTTTTCACAGAACTGCCCCAGAGCTGCAGTTCTCTCCTTTGCCTGGAGCATTAAGAACTCCTATTTCACGTCTCTCGTCTCCTTCTGAGAGTGGCCTAACCACTAATCTGTGAGTTACTCCACTTCCCAGTTGAATCTATGCCCCTGTGAAGAAAGAAATCAACAATTTCTGAGTCCTGAGGGAACACCCAGACAGCTCCTGACTTTGTGGGCAGGATGCTACTGGCCTTTTGGCTGTACATGAGCAATACAGGAGCCATAATAAAGCCAGTATGGGAAGGGAACCTGCCCTAGAGGCAGCTCTTGTGATGATACTGGAGAGAAACCAGTTCCCACTAGCTGCTGTTTCTCCAGACAGTGGCTGAGACTTGCCACTGGCAGAAGCGGGACAGCTAGAGGAAGCTGGGAAGAAGGACAGGGCTACAAGCAGCAACTGGAAGCAACTGGAAATGGCTATAAAGAGACAGGTGGCATATCTGAGGGAGGGATGAACGTGCCCACCTTCCTCTCCATCCTTCTGCCTCTTGCAGTCTCTGTGACACAGACAACTGCAGCTGGAGGTGCTGGCTAGGGAGAAAGGGCATCAGAGACCTGCATTTCAAGCCAGCATCAGTGAAAGCCACTTACTGTGGCACTGATTAAACCAAAAGCATCTATTCTGGGAGCAGATACTGTAGCTGAGGTGACTGCCCTGCCATCTGGGCAGTACTCACCTTTCTGCCGGCATTTCTGCTGCCCTTGGACTTAACTGCACTGTTGGGAGCTAAGGGCTTGACTGGTGAGCACACTGCTAACAGATTCAGCCTCAGCAGGTGTGCTCCTTAACAAAGGATGTGTCTGCCTGTGATGCTGGCTCTGTGATTTACCATTTGCCATACTGAATACCCTCATCAACAGCCTTGTGTCTTGGTGAGCTGGGGGAGTGGGAGGGTTCAGCAGAATCCTCTTTCCCCATTCTTCATAAGCAGGCAATCTTTCCCCATGCAAAGCAAACATTCAACTATCAGGGAAAGAATGTAACTGCTAGGACAAATTGTAAAAGTCTGCAGCAAAAAGCACAGACAATTAAGTCCAGTGACTGGTTCTTTATTATGGGCTTTTCAGTCCAGGTTCATGCATAGGAGGTCTGGATTCATGCAGAGCGTGAAGCTGAGCAAAGGAGCATAGAGAAAGAGGGATTAAATCAAAGGGAGGGTGGGGTGATGGAAACCGTGGGAGGGAAGAATGAGTGGGAAGAAATAAGGGAGAAAGGGAGGGGAGATAGGAAGGGTACAGACAGTTGAAGAATGGGAACGGGTTAGTGGGTGATCACGCAGATGGTGTGAATCATCCTGTGGAAGAGATTCACAGAGTGGATCTCTTCCACTCTGTTGACTGCTGGAGCTATTACTTGACATTGTTTCATGATGTCTTGTTGAGAGCTGAAGTAATTCTCATGTTTCCAGTGAGTAGAAGGTGAGTATTAAAGACTAGAAACCAGTAGCTTTTGGAAGAGATGCAGCTCTTCACTAATCTGAAAACAGAGATGAGATAGAAACTTCATTAAAAAGTCCAAGTCCTTGCCACCTGGCAGATTTCCTACTCTTCAAAGGGGTGATTACAGTCCAGGGATGTGTTTTGCTAAATGGTGGGAAATTATTTGGTCTTAATGTGACTTTCCCAAAAGAATTCTTTCAACTGCGTTGTATTTTTTTTCCACCTCATAATCAGTTTAAGATGTGTAAATATCAGTGCATGATATCTGCAACTGGAGTAAGTTGCAGGTCTTTTCCTGAATTAAAGTCACCATCTATGAGACATCTGAGCGTTTTTGTAAGGATGAGGAAGACAAGCTTTAAGAGTTTGCCTTTCCTTGTGGGCTGCAGGATTTGGCTAGTCCAGTTGTAGAGAGAATATGTCTGTTTTGTAGACTTTTCTGGATCTGGGCATGCATCTCTTGTACTTCATCCTCCACCACAAATATCCCCCTTGAGGTTCATTCGCCTGTCCCAGTAGTGTTGCCAAGAAGAATTAATTGCAGTAGCATCTAACAGTATTGTTGGACACTGTGATTTTAATTTCCAAAGTGAGTACAGTAATTTTCTTCAGCTGGGCCTTGGTGCTCTTCCTGGCAGCCACCTTGTTTGAGAGGATGACTTTCCATTCTCCTTGTCTTTCAGCAGAGTCCTCTGTCACCAGCTGCTTTATTGATGGTATTTTTGAAAGTTTTGAGGCACCCACTGTTTTAGTCTAGAGATTTGGATGAAGCCCTGGGAGCGAGTGGGTGTCCAGAGACATCTGGCCCAGCAGAGTACATCCCTTTTGGCCCCATGGCCCACCCAGAGTCCCTCCAGCTGCGCTCCCCAGGGTGGACCACAAATTGTACATAAGGTGGTTTTGTTTTGCTCCTGCTGCCAGAAGCTGGGCAGCTTTTACTACCTGTGTGTATCATTTCCTATATATTATGAATTAGAGGAGGTTGTCTAGGCCACAGTTTAGCTGATGAACCACCAGTGTAACATCAGGCATTACAGAGAAAAACCCCTGTCAACTAGATCACCATGCCCATATCCAAAACACTGCCGTACATTAGGATAAGCTGTATACACTGTAAGGAGGTCATATAGCAGCCAAGATCTTGAAAAAAAAACCACCCATAAAATCTGTAAATGAAGGCAAGATATATTGGTTACCCCTTTTTGAGCACACCCAGAATGTTCATGACAAAGCTCCTGTACAAACAAAACCAAGATAAGCCCACCCAGGTGCTGCTGCTAAGGCACAGCAGAAGGAGCCTTCACATCTTTGTGTGTTTGATTCCCCTCATGACTTTGGAATGAATAGCTCTGGAAACTAGAAAGATGTGTGATCACAGAAGCACAAGTTCATGGCATGTTTCCAAATAAAGCAGAAGAATCATCACGCTAAAGGGTTTAAATTATGTCTTTTTCATCAAGTTGGTTTGTCTGAGGTTGCATTTTATCTGTATCTCATTAAAAAGAGTAAATAACTTTAGTCCTGACTGGATCATGTTGCATGGGCAGATCTTCCTGAAACTCTAACATCAACATGTGGAACTGCTGTAATCCAGAGCTGGAACTCTTCACTAAACAAAAACAGGCCCTCACTTAGTTTTGGCTTTTAAACCTGATTGCAAACACCATACTATTTTTTTTTCTGAGATGCTGCTCAGCATTCCAATAGGACTGGAAATCTTCATTAATTTATCAATTATAATTAATTTATTTCCAATGTGACACAGAGAACAGTTTCATCCATGACTGCTCTCAGAACTTTTCAAACTGGAGATGTATCAACAAAAATTGTATCATGTGTTTCTCATTGCTGTGAATTGTGTGCCTTAAGATAAAAGAGGAAGATTTATCAGGAGAAGACTGCTAGATGCTGTCCAGAGATTAGCGGAGGTTGTCAACTCTGAACTGGGCTGAGTGCTTGTTCCTTACCAAGCCAATAAAGTCCTGGCACTGTTACAAATGCTGTATATGTATTTGAAGGTTTGAGAGGGAGAAATGGATAATAAAATATCCTAATTGAATGGGGATAGAGTTAGCTTTGAAAGCCAAAACTTTTTTTTTTTCAGGTGTCCAAATTAAAGCACATCTCATTACATATAAAAAGAAAATCTTGATAATTCCATTTATGTATTAAAAATGTGAGTCTTTGATAATTTGTGGAGACTGTGAGTTTTAGAAAGCTGTTTCCCATTTATCCTCCTTGTTGCTGCTGCTGCTGGAGTAAACTACAAACTGACTTCCAAAATAACAGCTAAGTAGCAATCGGGTAGTGATTGGTAAAAATGTTTCCTAGGAAAGACTAGGTTTGTTCCCATGCTGACCAGGCTGTGACCAGGTTTCTGTCTTCCACTAAACACACAGACATTCCAAGAGGAGAAAATAAGTTTTCTACTCCCTGTTCCTAAAATAAAAGGCACAAGAGAGAAACCATGGAGAAACCATAAGTAGGAATAAGAAAAGCTGTACTAGCCTGGAGGATGACCAAGTAAGAGAAAACCTCCAGAGAAAGAGATGATTTAGAGTTTATACAAAGGGCCTTCCTGGGGCTTCATAGTAAAATTACAATTTGGCCACTGTGGAAGACTCTCCAATCTGGTGGAATTATGGGGTGAAAAAGGAGTAAGAAGTCCTTGGAGGCTGCTGGATATTGGGATATTGCTTCAATTAACTGCCAGATATTGGCATATCCAGCAGTATAATAAAGAAGCATGAATACATGCAACAGAAAAAAAATGAGGGAGAAATAAAAAAAAAGAGAACTGTTTACTTTTCTTGGGCTTGGGGTTTTTTTCCACGTTTTCAGTTGTTGCTTCAGTTTTACATTTGTGGAATAAAAAAAGAGAGCTATACACAAAAATATTCCCAATTGTTAGCAAATTTAAGACAATTAAAATGAGAGATTCAAGATAAGCAAATCTGAGAGGTAGCAAGACAAAAAATAGTTCAGGTTTAAGGACGGTAGTATTACAAAAATCAGTAATGTGTTTTCAAATAAATATGTGAGCACATGCAGGAACTTGGAGGAATGTGTATATTGGCAGCACAGTAATCAGCGACAAGAGAAAGAAGAGGTTTCATATGAGGACCTGAATAAGCACTGTTGGTACTGAAGTGGTTAAGAGCTCAGAGAATTGTACGTTTAACATGTGTATATGGAGAGTTGAGAGAATTAATTCTATTCTTACTGAAGAGCAATACAGTTGGCTTTGAAAGCCAGAAGTCAGCTCTGTAAGTGTGTGTTTCCAACTGATGTGCTGAAGCCAATTTTTCTGATTATGGAAAGAGGGACTGTTGATTTAAGTTCAGTCATAAAGTTCATCTTTTGTTATAGAGAAGAGGTGGAAGCAATGGGTAACATACACGAAATAAAGACTGATAAGCAGAAATCAGAAACTCACCAGAGGGGAGAGAGGTTGCTTATCTTTGTTTTAACTGTGGGGGGTTTTCTGGTTTTATGTGTAAGTGAAAGGGAAAAGATGTAGTATTATCAGATTCATTGCTTTAGCTGAACTTAAAAACAAAAGAAAAATTAAGGTAGCATGGAGAAATAGATGCCACTTTAACCACATCTCCATCTCCAAACATGTTAAGCTGTTTCTCTCAGTGAGGATAAATGTACTTCAGTTATTAATAGGAGCCATGACAAGAAGATCGTTAGAACATAAATGAACAATGTCTATGTCTGTAACAAAGTATATGCAGGTAGATGGGACTTTGTGTATGAGAAATGTTGAGCATTATGAAAAAGAAAAGGCGAATCAGTTAATTATAGAAACACTTATTATGGTAAAACCTACTTTGAAAGGCTGGTAACATCATCTTTAGTTTTGCAGCATTGAGGTTAGGAAAAAATGTCACTTTGTGAAGACCTATATGGGGGATATTTTTAAATGTTTATGGAAGGAAGCTGATGAAAAGCAAATACATGTTCAAAATCAGAGGTTTGTCATTTGTGGTAATCAAACCTTTCTCTGTGTGTACAATATGCAAGCAATTTAATGAAAAATTAGGTGTGTTTTATTTGCAAAGATCCAACTGGGTAATGTTAGAAATGTACAACTGTGTTAAAAGAAAGACATGTTGCCACTGGAGTCACATAATCTCAAATCCACCTACTTGTTCAGGGTGTGATAACCCAAAATATGTTCTGCTTTAACCTTGCTCTTTGTCAGTCAAAACAGATTAGAGCAAGAGAAAATTTTCTGGATGGTTTGACTGTCCACATATTGTTAGCTTAAATCACAAATCAGCCTGTGGAAAACATCCATGAAGACCTGCACCTGCAGCCATCAGATGATTACTTATGTTTTAACGTAACTACAGTGACAGGTCATGGTTACAATTATGTGATACGCATAGAAATGACCATCGAACTCCATTACGTGAAGGCAGTTGTTTCATAACTTTAAACTAGTGCCCTTAGATACCTGCTAAATTACTGAGGTACATGCTAGAACACCCTGCCTTTACTGGATTTGTCAGCTAGGTAGCGTTCCAGAAATTACACTCTGTTAAAATAAGATTACTCACAATGCAGCCATGGTGGGGATCCTTCCTAATGGTTGCTTTCCACAGCTACAAGCATTTTCAAATGGGGCTTTCCCTTTTACAGCTGGCATTTTAATTGTTATAATGATTTTTGTTAACTGTGCAGATTGTTTTGGATATAAAAATTATATGCTTAGCAAAATGAGTAACGGCAATACACCTAATCTGTGAATTACAGGCTATCCACTGGCCTGTAACCATCATTACAATGCAGGACCAGGTAGGAAGTAGCAGATGACTCCTAGAAGAGCCTTTACTCAGTCCTAATCAGGAGCTTTTAGATAAAAGCGTGTATCCTTTCTTTCTGATATGTCCTTTCTGTAAGTGATAGAGCTTGCAGCTTGCAGACTATCACAAAGGGAAGTTTTGGTTGCCAGTAATAACACTGTGTATGTAACATTAGAAATACCTGCTATAGGATGGGTCATTTCTATGCATGTCATGTAATCACACCCCTTTTAGGAGATTACACTTACACATTTTTTTTTTGTTAGTTTATACATTGAAGAGATTTACATACACAGCTGGCCCATTTCTAAACAATCTATGAGGCCACATATAGAACCAGGTTTCATGGGCTGTCCCTACAGTAGTTTCTTCTGGAGTCAGCTCTTCTTTCAGCTTCTTTGCTTTTCAGAGTAGTAAGTTTGTGATGCAACAGATTTTGTAGAAATTTGCCTTTAACTGAAGAAAGATTCTGGGGGCAAATTCCTGTGCACCAGAATGGAAAGGGCATGCTGGTAGAGAACTGCACCACAAAGCATATAGTCAGAGAAATGGAAACAAAACTGCAGTGTCCCAGACCTCAGGACAGTCCAGATACCATCAGTGAAAGGACAAGATTGGCTCAGTGATGTGCATCCCAGAATGGCAGGACAAAAGCACTACTGTAGCTTAGTTCTGTGAATACAGAGGACTAACACAGTAACAGTCCATACCAGAAGGGAATAGTGATGTGGTAGTGGTTTACGAACAATATTAAATCTTTCAGAGCATAGAAAAATACCCTTGCAAAGCAGGGTGATTTTGAAAAGACTGCTAGTGAAGAGTAAGGGAGCATGACGTGTGAGTCCTCTCAGGAAACTTGTTCAAAAAAGCATCTAGAGAGCCTCGTCATTACAAAGATATGCAATACCTAATACCAGTTGGTGTCAGCCACATAAGCCATGACAGAGATGATCATTTACTGATGCAGGATGACTGTTGTGTGACTCTTCACTCAATTAATTTATTATGCAGAATTATTCACACCATAGTTTGCAAGAGCAGCCTTAGTGTCATGTAACAGCAGATCTAGCAATCTATTTCCCAAGAAAATTGAAGGGTCACCTTAGCCTCCTGTGTCAGGTCCTAGTTGTGTACTATGGTGCTTATAGTCTTCTCTATTGAAACTTTTGCGGAATTGTAACAATATTTTAAAATGATAAATCCTGAATTATATGCTCATATATTTTAAATAATCTGTCTGCATTTTTCTTTATTTACCTTAACTTACCTTAACTTATTGTTTGTGGAGCTACAATAACATCAGCGGAACTACAGCATTTACAATAGGATGAAGTGCAGAACACCTGTAAGATAAGACCAAATTAAATATATGGCAGTTTAGGCAAAATAGAAGCATTTTCAGCACTGCATACAGGGCTATAGTAAACTTACCCTCTTTTTCTGTTTTTTGTTTGCAAGGCGTAACCATAGATTCACTACATACTTCTTGTAGTTTTTAATTTGGTGCCTGGTTTGCCTGATTTTCCCAAAGCATTGTTCAGATCATTTTGAAATGTCCATAAAATAAATTTTAAGCAAATGGAATGCCAAGTTGGATTTCGGTCTTTTCTTGCATGTACAAGTTGAAAGAGCCAAAGGTGAAACAGGGCTGCTGCATATTCTCTTCTGTGCCCTGAGGCAACTTCGCACCAGCAGGATAAGCAGTTTGTTTGATGATTCAATTTTAACAAAAAGTTTTTTCTGATTGTAATGAAGTGATTGACAGTATCTTTCTGCAATGGGAGAGTTTGTTATAGGAAGTTTTAGTGAAAAGCTCTTTTGTTCTGCCTCTACTGTTTTTAAAATCACTTTGTATTAAATGTGTTTATGAGCCTCCTGGCAATTTACTTCATGGACAGCCTAAGCTGTAACTAGGCATGGAACTACGGTTCTGAATTTTGAGTCTTTTCAAAGTATGAAGTGTTGGGTTTGTCCTTTTTACAGAGAAAAGGATGAGTCAAGACAGACAGTTCCAAGACTGGGTTTAGTCTTAAGGTCTGGATTCTGTGACTTTCCAAAAAATGTAGTGTTCTTGCCTTGCATTTTGATACTCTAATATTTGTGTTGCATTCATATTTGACTATTTTGATTTAAATGTCCTGATAATGTCATTTTTCTGTGTATGAGAAGTTTTATATATTTATGTATTCTAGTATTTAATATGAAAACTTTCCTTCTACTTCCAGTATCTTCTTCCTTATGAAACTCATATTTAATCTTTAAATATATATATATATATATATATATATTTAGACTTAATTCAGCCGTTACATAAGTGGATATATCTGCCAGGAGCCTGAAGGGACTTGTATCTATGCAAACCTGAATTTGATCCGCTGTTTTCTTTGTGAATAAGGAATAAGGAACTACAAGAAGCTTAGGTCGTTAGTCATGAACCATGTCGTTATTTATACAGATTTATTGGACCCATTTATTTGCTGCTGTTACATAAATACATCAAAGCCTTCACATGTACGAATTTCTTGGCAACTCATGCTTTTTGTGTTTTCTTGGTAATACTCTCAGGTGCTCAGATTTTTTTGCTGGATGAATAGTGTTGAATCAGAACATGAACAAAAGGGGAGAATTATATGAACAAAGAGGAGAAGATGTCAAATTCATGAGAATTCATACATTGCAGTATATAAAAATATGCAACTTCTTTCAAACTAGATGTTGAAGTTGAGATTAGTAGCTGGCATGACACAGAAAATCAGTGTCATCTGTTAGATCAGCAAGCCAGGGTTCTGAAAAGTCCCAGTATAATTTTTTTTTATCCTGAAGACCTGACATAGAGTGGAAATTTTATTCATGTTTTCCTAATTTCCTTCATATTTTACAAAGAAATAAAACCCACAAAGTATTTATTATGCCTTATTGAACTCTCAGAGTCCTATTAGGGGGGCAATAGCAAGTAAAATAGAAATGACAAGAGTTGAAAGTCACTAAAGGCTTGAAAGATTGTGGCCACTGATGATACAAAGGCACACTGGTGTCTAAGAGAAGCAGCTGATCAGTGAATGGTTAGAATGGCTTGGCTTGTATGACCTAGACTGCTTCCTAATGTTTCTGAGAAGGCCATCAGGTTTTTTTTCCCCTGCGTTAATGGAAAGAAAGGAAAAAAACACTGGTAGCCTGTAAGAACAATCAAAGAGTGCCCTTACAACTTGCTGGGTAACTCGTGATTGCTTGGTAATCAGACTGAAAGGGAAAATAAGGCCGATTGAAGATTCTACAGCAAATGGTTTAGTTCCCTTTATTTTTCAGTCTTCAAAGTGTTGTCTTTGCAGATTATTAGGCTTTTAGCAAATATGACAAGATGATAGTCCATGTAACAAAAAGAATAGCAGCTACCAAATACTTGTGCAATAATTCATTTGAGCTAATATATAAATAAGGTAGGTAGAAGTGATAGGAAACAAGCAAATTAACTGACTAATGTTATGCACCCTGGAAAAAGACAGCATGTAAGCATTTAAGTGTTGCCTAGATTTACCTAGCATGACAATAGTTATATTCATTTGGAGGTAGAGGAGTTCAGTCTATTTGAATTCTTCGAGTATTCAGTTGAATACAATGGTGTGAGTAGAAATGTAAGCACAGGACTTTGATAGGCCTGATGAAAGTGAAAGGATGTTTTTCATGCTGTTGTCTGTACAGAAAAGAAGTCACAGTGATAGCTCTGCGGCAGATAAGCACTTCTAGCATTCACATTTCTGGGTGTCAGCTTCTGTCGGAGGTATGCAGCTTCTCCTCTATATCCAGAACACAGCTAAAAATCAATCAGTAACTACAGTGGGTGGAAAAATACAGAAGTAATGTAATAGCCTATTTAAGGTAAAGGGAAGCAATCTGGGCCTAGGAATGTCTTTGGTATGTATTGTGACTCTTGCTAGGTAAAGAAAATGGAACTGGAAAAAGAGGCCAAGCACCAGGATGCATCAGACCAGAAAAGTAAGAAGCCAGTGCTCAGAGGGTATGAGAAGTCAAAATGGGTGAGAGCTGGGTGAGGTAAGCTTCTGTGCTCTCCTCAGGGCCAAGAAAAGATCCCTAAGGTTCCCAAATCTTGGATGGCACCAAATATCTTTGAAAGGTGCTGGCACTGTCCCAGGTGTACGTGTTGACACAAGAGGTAATAAGTCATTGCTGGTCTCAGTAACTCAACTGGCAGAAAACAAATATAACCTTGTTCATGAACTGTACAGAGGATGACATTTCACAGGACTGAATACCTGGTTTTTCTATCTGTTTTGGATTTTTCAGGTGGAAGATTAGGTAAGAAGTCTCTTCACTAAAAGAGTATCACTGCTAACTAGAGCGTCCATACATCCTTTTCCTGCCTCCTTCATGTGTAGGCCCTGTAACAGACTTACTAAATGACACGTGAATTTAGGCTGCAAGTAAGTCATAGCTAAATCTAGTCACATTTGCTGCTGAAGCTGGAAGGGATTATCTGAGACTATGGAGTGCCAGAAGAAAACATAGTTATATGTTTAAGGGTGCAAATACTGTCCAGCTGAACAGGATTATGTCTCAGCCTGTGCTATGGGATGCCACTTCATAAAAGTACTTACCAGATGTGCCATGTTCCTAATTTTTTTGGACCTGAAAAATATGGAGGAGTTAAATTTGTCAAAGTCTCCAGTATTTACAGCTGCAGCTGAAGACAGTGATAGTTTTCTTTTAAGCACAAAGAAAAGAAAATAATGCTGACTATCCTCAAAAATAAAAAATGCTGGTGTTTCACACTGGCTCCTAAGACTGATGAAAACTTTTGATCCAATCTTTTATGTGCTCCAGTGCCTCATTTGTAAAATTAGGATAAGATCAGTCTTCAGAGAGGCATATGAATATGTGTTAATGCTTGTGAATTATTCTTAGTCCGTTTTTATGAACATTACAAAACTAAACCCCAAGGAAATTAATTATTTGTTCATCCTAACAGGCTTTGGAATGTCTTTTTGTGGTTAAAATAGTGGTCTGTGTAAATGCACCAATATCACATAAATGAAATTGTGTTTAAAGTTCACCTGGAATACAAAATAGAAAGACTACATTTCTTCTGAAAGTAAGTCAGCTGCAAATACAGGTTATATATGAATTTGATCAGAAGATGAGCCCCCTGTCTAGGTGAAGAGTAGTTGGAGGGAACTTGGTACTGTTTGATGAAGATGCCAGTGGAAGCGGGACAGAGACTAACAGCAAACAGAATTAGTGCCAGTGTTTCTTGAAAATGTAAGAAAAGAAAATGCTTCTTGTCTGACTCCTACTGAGTTCGGCAAAATATCACTTCGTGACTGTCCATTCTTTCTAGATGAAAGGGATTGAATTAACAAAATACCCAATTCCACCACTAGTCTCCCATTTTAAAGGGAACACCCAAAATATTTTGAATTTTGACTGATATAACAGATGAAAACAGGCCAGCCACTGAAAAATGAATATAAAACAAAATATTTAATAGTTGCTCATCAAGTGGCAATACTTATTGTGTACTCTGACCAAAATAAAGGTCCTGGGTACAGAAAAGAAATAAGTTCATATAATGAATATCATAATACAGGCACAAAGTATCAGAGTTGTGCGAGAAATCTTTATTCTATGCTAGATTTTACAACTCTACTAATAGTTTTCAGTTCTGTGTACGTATCACATAGAGGACCACTACTTAAACTGCAATCAACATAAATATCAATCCTACTCAGAGAACTTAATCTTATATAGAATAAGAGATTCAACAGGAACATTTATGAACTCATAAATAGAAGATACTTCAAAGGGAAAAACTAATATATTGTGTTAAAAACTATTCCTTTGTACATTTAACCATATTGAAATTAAAACCATGTCTGAGATTTGCAGAATAGGGTGGAGAATATAAACTAAAATCTTCCATTAACATTCAGAGTTCATCAAAGCATATCCCATCTCATGAAAGAAAAAATATTTATTGGAAATATATCTGTTTTCATAACACTTTCCTGTGGACATTTTTTGAGGTCATTTCTGCCCAGAGAGAGTAAGGAAGTGAGAGAGAGATGCTGGCAGACCCACCCTAACTGAAAACCTGAGAGTTCTTTTAATCCCCAGACAGATCCCTCATCTCTGAGGCCTGCCCTTCCCACTGGCCAGGGATGCCAGCCCCTCTGGTTTCAAGTTCATTCAGTTACTGGAACTGTCCTTCAGCATTGTGGCAAGTAGTAAAACCAGTAATAAACTGCTTGTCACAGCATACGTAGATAACAATAGGGTGGTGGTTGACTTTCTAGCAGCTAGAAGCAAAACCCATTTATCATAGCCTCTG